CAGCAGTTCAAATCAACAATCTAAGAGTGCTACCGTGCAAAGACATCCAGTGAACACAGACTGCAAATGTTAATAAAGTATATGAAAAACTGAAGGACTTGATTAAAGAGGCCCCAGTCCTAAGATGCTCTGGCACCATCAGGAACCCGGAAGTGCTGGGGCAGCCGGACAGGCTTCCCCCATTCAGCTACTGCTGAAACTGACCAGCAGCTGAATCAGGGAAGCAGGAAGCAGAGCAGCTGGGGTGCTGTCGGGTTGGTCCGGTAGCGCTGCTCCTTGGCGCTGTGGGACCAACCCGGCAGCACCCCAGCTGCTCTGCCACAGGCGGCCCCCGTAAGGGGGGGCTATGAGGGGTCTGGGGTGGCATCCCCTCCCACCCGACTCCAGACCCCTCATAGCCCCCCCCTTCTGATAGTCCGGCATATTTGATAATCCGGCACTCCCTGGGTCCTAAAGGTGCCGGATTATCGGAAGTTTACTGTATAATGGAAACTGCAAAACTAAGTTGTCCATAAATGCTTCCAAGGAGGTATTAACATGGCCCTCTGACCAACAGCATGCTCAAACAGGAGATAAATGGGTGGTGTATCACAAAGGTTAACAAAAACTGGGCATCACTATACTTAAACAAAGAAGGAGGCTTTGACTTCAGGCCAACGGTGTAAAGAGGTGAATGTTTTCATTTATGGGAGGCATGTGTTAGCCGAAACAGATTATCAGTTACTTATTGCCATTGACAGACACCTCCCCACCCCAAGAACAGAGATCATTTTTTCTGCTATAAATATGTGATTTCAAAATCAAATACATATCTGGGAGAGATTAGGGGACTGCAGACATGCTCTCTAGAGCGTTCAACAAAAGTGCAAGGGTGCAAAGTCCAGAGCTAGATTTCGTACATCAATCTAATTAAAAAACCTATCCAGTTTCAGACAAAATGTGATCTGTGACTGCCAAACTAACAGCTCAGGCTAAGACCCTGCATCAAGTGATTAAGGCTCTTAGCATAGAGTAGCCCCTATTACTCATTGGGGGGGAGGGAAGGAATCTCATGCCTAGATGGGATTTTGTTGACACCCTCTTTGTTTAAAGATGGTGATCCCTATGGTGTTACAGAAAAGAATAATTAAAAGGAAACATGAAGGTCATTTAGGGGTTGACAAATCTAGAAGGGATAGAAACATTTTAGAAACATCCTCTTTGTCCAAATAAACAGCAACACTCAAAAACCTGTCAAGTCTTGTTGCATATGCCAAAATAAGGCCAAGTCAAGCAAAAGAACCCATGTTGGTAGCATAGGAAAAACTGATCCCACCTGCAGAGAAGTAGATGAAGATTTGTTTACATCGATTGGAAAAAACTATGTACTTGTTCTACGCTATAATTCTCGCTTCCCTGAGATAGCTTTACTTAAAGCCACTACAGCTAAATAGGTGATTGTGCATGTCAAGTCTGTTTTTGTTAAACCTGATATACCTGCCATGGTAACATCTGACAATGGGCCACACAGTTCAATGAGCATGAGTTTAAGCAGTTTGCCATGAGGTTTGGTTTAGACATGTAAGTGCTAGCTAGCTCATTGTCTCCAGTCCATTTGTTGGAAAGTGGTGTTAATATAAAAACCCAACTACTGGAAAAGACTGCAGAGTCAGAACCTGACCTGTACTTAGCACTGTTCAATGAAACATGACTCGTTACCTGCAGACATTTAACAGAAAATTGAGAATGAGGGTGCCTGTAATAACAGCCTTTTAAAGTGCTACCAGACTATTTGTTGTTTTTGGAGTTTATCCTGTGCAGACTAACTCTGCTACCCCTCAAAAGCTTTTGTGATAATAGAGGCAGTGTTGTTGTAGCCACATTGGTTCCAAATACTATAGAGACAAGGTGTGAGAGGTAATATCATTTATTGAATCAACTTCATTGGTGAAAAAGACTAGCTTTATGGAGAAAAGTTCTGTGTAAGCATGAAAGCTCATTTCTCTCACCAACAGAAGTTTGTCCAATAAAAGATATTAGCTCACTCAATTACTATTTGTAATAAGAAGAGACTGATAAAGAGACTAATAAAATTAAAAAAACAACACATTTTGAGACTTGGGCACTGTCATCTTTTAATGAACTTAACCCAGTATTCATTTATGCTGTAAATCAATGCTTCAAACATTAGTGATGTCATAAGGCACAGCCCAGCCAGCAGTCTTATGTTTGTCACCCCCAGAGACATATGCTGAGGGGGAATGGCCAACACCTTTTCCTGCTTCCAGTAAGGAGGGAAAGTAGGGCACTGAGTCGTCCACTTTGCCTGAAGGGCTCAGTCAGGCAACAACCAGACAGGTCATGGCAACAAAGCTCCATGAACAAATTGACTGATACTTAAAGGGAGACCCATATGTCCAAGCAACAGTATAAAGCACCCCAGAGATCACTTGAACATTGTTAGTAAATCTAATTAGTAGGCTGGATATAAGTATTTGAAATAATGTGTTACACAAAGGTGTTAAGTGTTACCATTATCAAGATTTGCCTGGGAAAGGAAGCTGTGATGTATTGGGACTGTATCTTTAAATGGTTCAGCTTCTCAGACAGGAAATCTGGGGGAGGAGCACAATAGAGGGCCATGTTTTTGCTGAAAGGCAGTTGGAACAGTGTCTGTCAGTCTATAAGGAAAAGGTTCTCACGTCACACAGTCACTTTAGGCCCAGATTGCTGAAGGCCAGAGACCCTACATGTGCTCCAGTTTCAATGAAGTCAAGGAGTTCTGTGCTGGTGCAGGAGGTCTATAATCATTTGCAGGAAGAGGGGCTTAAGTGTGAAAGCTCAGTGGCTCAGAGAGAGACCCTTCAGGTTTAGGAATTTCTGTCTCCATTTGCCCTACTATGTAGGCATGGGAACAAACCCAGGGCCTGATCTTATGAATCCCCATGCTGAGGAGTAGGTTCTCATGGGACCACCTGTATGTAGCTGTTTGCTGGATGAGGCCCACAGAATATCTGGTTGTCTATACAGGCCATGCACACCTCTGGCACTGTATGGACCATGGCACATCGCTAGCTGTGAATCTGGCAGCCATCGAGCCTCAAGTTCATCTGCTGAGCTGGCCCCTAAAACACCTCACTTGCCTTGGGGCGCTGCAACTTCTGGGCTGCCCCCAGGCACTGAGGGTGAGAAGTGGGGCTCTCAGAAAGAATTCTGCTGCAGGTAGCAGGGCGATTTCCTAGCGGGCTGCCCCGTGGTGCTGAGGAGGGGGGGAGGGAGAGACTCTGCGCCATGCAGCTCCACCAGCAAAGTCCTGCTTGGTTTCCAAAGCGGGAGGGGCCGGGGGAGCGGCCTGCCTCTG